TGTCGTTCCTGACCCTAGCCAAAGACCTGGCAGACTACTTCATTGCGCATTTGCCGGCTGATGGAGTGCCTTACTGGGATTTCAATGCGCCAGTGACAGAAGCTTGTCCTCGCGATACGTCTGCGGCTATGATCGCCGCTTGTGGCATGCTTCTCATTTACAAAGAGCTTATGGGTAGCCAAGAGGCAAACCACTATCTCTGTCAAGCAATAAAGCTAGCAAAAAGCGTCGTTGACAAGTTCATGGACCGTGAAACTCTTCGGTTTGAGGCTAAACCCCTTGTGTCGCAAGTTTCAGTCTATCCAGATGGCTGTATCCATGAACAAACCGGGGACGGCTTCGATATTCTACAAACTAGCATGACGTCGAAAGCCTGTGAGACTATTCTGGGCGGAGCCACTATCAATAACTATGAGTTCGCGCCGAGAAGGTGGTCAAACCATGGGCTGGTTTATGCGGATTATTACTTTTTGCTTTTTGGAAACTTGATTCTTGAGATGGGACTTGACCATTCTATCGTGTGATGAGAACGCGATAGAAGAAGGGAATCGGAAATGCGTTTGACACTTGTCATCTTTTCATAACGCTAATCTGCGAGAAGATAGAAAATGATACATTTGATTGAAGAACACACGTACATTGGTATTAAAACTGTCGCCCATTGATGGTGTCGGTCGTCGGGAAATCCCTCGAGCCATTGTCCCTGTCTTGGCTTTCAGCATGCACTGCACCATAGCGGCTTATCCTCTGACCAGGGTTAGGGGTAGGATTGAAAAATTGCGCGAGGTCCGCTTGGAGGCTGATGTCATTTCCAAATGCCGCATTGGCATCCTGCCACATACCAAGGCGCGGATCTCGTGGCTGCATATTCAATGGGGTTTTCGCCTCATAAACACCAGATTGTCCATATACGGAGAGCGGGTCTGATGCGGAAAGAATCGGAAACCCTTGCTGGAAAGACGGTGGGAGTGGCGGGAAAGCCAGGCTAAATGGATCCAGACCATACGGCTCTTGGGGCGACTGTCTTCTCATGTCTACAGCATGATGCTCCCCATTAGAATTAGAAGCTCCGGACTTGTCTATACCAGGCTGAAATGGCGAGGCGCTGGTAGGAACTTGCGTTGGAGGTTGCCCCTTACTTTCGTCCCAATATGCAGTTTGCCTGATGTCTAGACTCGGGCGACGGGCAGCACTAGAGTCGTTTTGAGCATCCATGAGTCGCTTCGCGAAAGTCGAGGCCAGATTGTCGCCTATTGAGCCTGTAATCTCGTCTCTCCCAGTCCATCGCTGAGAGATCTCGAGAAGACTGGCAACCAAGGTATCGAGAGCAGATGGGACAATGACTTGGTTGTATCTGGCATGGGCCAGGAGCATTCTCCCGGCAATAAAAAGACAGAAAGAAAATTGAGGGTTGGTAAAGATGGGTGATAATGAGAGGAATTGTTGCCCAATAGTAGCGATCTCAGATGCAGCCTCTAGGCACGTTTCTGCAGATGAGGTAGATGGCAGCTTTATTGAGCAATTATTCCAATGAGGGGGTGGGTAGGCAATCGCTTGGTGCAACAGAATGACAGCAGTATTATGTGTGATATGCGCCAGTGTCAGGTTCGGGTCCATGACCCCGTCGGAATTCAGCACGGATGCCTCTCGCCATCTCCGGGGCAGGTACAGTTTCCACCTAGAGGTTATCATGACGTTAGTAGGCCACACGCACACACTGAAGCTACAGAACGAACTGGATGAGTCGCAGATCTAACTCTTTGAATTTCATCATCCAAATTCGAGCTTTCTCGGTATCTGCAACAATGAAGGCATGGTCGAGGAAAAAGTTTGTGACCAGTGTGAGTGATTCAGTAGCCTCAATATTGTACGCAAATCCACCTATTGAGAGATCGTCATCCGAGCTTGTCGATGCTCCACTACTACTTAGAAGTGATGAGGTTGTTGTGGCATCCTTGGAATCTGAGATGCCGAAAAAAGGTGCGCAAACCTCTGTCTCCTTCTCCCAGACTGCTCCCTCACAGGGAAGCCGGCGTTTCAAACCGGCGCTATCCAGACTTACCTCCCGGCCTGTGGATACACTGCAGAAGCGATCCATCAAAAACACTGCCCAAAAGATTCGCCGACGCTCCTCTGCTTCGCTCCAAGACCTCGACGGAGGCAGGAAAACCATACGCCGAATCAACGACTCACCCGAATTGGTTGGACGGTATAAAACCTCTTCCTCGACGCCGAGTTGAAGTTGATTTACCGCGCCGATAGCACTGCCGACGATAGACCATGACGAAGGTCCGCGTCCTCGTTCAATCTGCAAAATGGGAGGAATTAGTTGACTAGAGGGACCGAATGATCTGGTCTTTTTATGCGGCTCACTGTTTCAAATGCAATGATTATCAATGCCTGCAAGTTCTCGACCGAGTAACAATCGGTGCTGGCCAGTATAACCCTTTTTCTGCTCTGCTCAGCGACAGATGCCTTCGTCTCTGCGTCGCGCAATTCTTTGCTCTTAGAGAAACGTACACATACAGCGATGATTGCGTGAAGGATGCAGGAAATACGAGGACGCTCATCTGGAGATTGCATGCGCTCCCAAAACCTTGTCACGTGGAGAATCGGTATCCAAGGGTGTATATTGACAAAGTAGAAGCTCACTAACTCCGTCATGATCTCGGTCGAAAGAAGACCGTCGGTGTCGCCATCCATGCTGACTGGGACAAAGGGTGTAGTAGTCGCCGTGCGTCGTCTTTTTGTTGGACGCAGAGCTGACTCGGAACTCGCTTGGACTTGTCCCTCGTCCTTCTGATCTACTGACGATAATGTGCGAAGCAAAGCGGACTTGAGCTCATCTCGTCGCCGAGCCAGATCTTCAATATTGGCAGCTGGCTCGTTAGATGCTAATAGAGCCCCGTTCGGATACATCGTCCTCCACATATGTTGCCAGAGTAATTCCTGACCGAGGAACATGTTCTCGAGTGTTTCAATGCGGCGATAAAGTTGGTCCATTGCGCCAGTCCGGAGGCCAGGCTTCATGCGACGCTCATCATAGACGCACTCGGCGCCGGAGCGGGTGCATTCTACACAAGGTTGGGTCCGGCTGCAGCGCGATTTTTTTTTCCGGCAAAGCTGGCAAGCAGGTAGATCCTCGTGGAACTTGGATGCATCCTGCGGCTCTTGGCCATTGGCCTCGCTCTCGATATGGCTCGAAGGGGGTGGCATTGAAAGTCTCTCAAGTCTAACGGCTATGCTTGCAATATCGACAAACAGCGCAGATGAAAAGGTCTACGACGCCAAGAGACCTATTGCTTGGGAACTCGAGCGCCTTCATGGTCAAAGGGTGGGGTATGACGAACGAAGCCATAAGAAAACCACGTGTTCTCGGCTAGAGAGGAAACCCCATGGGGAAAGTAAGCTTGTGCACCTGGGCACAAAAGTGATCATCGCCATTCACCGGCTAAAAAGGGACCGGGGGAAGCGGAGCAACGGACAACCTTACTCCGAATTTCTCGCGCTATTGCCTTAATGTGGCAGCCAGCGTATTGGTGGAAAAGTTTTGGACATATCACATTATACGCGAAAATTTGAAGGAAGAATAGAACCAAATGTTCTAGAAATGATCGATAACTTGTGGCTTTAGCGATATCTTAGCAATAAGCCGAACCATCTAAATGTGAAAATTTCCTTAACTCACCGTTATTGAGATATATCTCATGAATAAAAGTCTGAAAAGACTAATATTCTACATTTTGTATACAGAATCTCGCTATTTTTGCGCCCCAATGAGGTGGCCCTTCTTATGCCCATTATTGGCTAATTTCATGACTTACATAGTTATATGTCTACCAAACCCTTTATAGATTTACAGATAGCGGCTTATATCCCCTGTAGGCCGATTAGGCTCATTTATATCAATTTCAGGAATGGTGAAAAGGGGGCATGTTTTGATTTGAGCTGTTCACTGGGGAAGAGAGGGGGAGAGAGATGGAAGAAGACCAACCTTGGAACCCAGACGAGGAATAGTGGATAGTATTTGTTGTTTTTTAGTGGGCGTATGTGATGTCCTTGACAATGTAGGACTCTAATATTAATCTGATTCATCTGGCTCGGGGTGATATACGGGATTTTAATGTGAGAACGCTGGGATTCTACTTTTTTGGTTGTCTCCGTTTATATATTTCCTCTTTTTCTTTCAAGGTCATAAAAGGGTAATGAGTAATAGCACGGAGTAGAACATCCATGGTGTGGTACAAACATAAACCATACAGAGGAGTTTAACGATTTGCGTACATAGTTAAGTCTCGATACAGTTGAGACTTTCACAGTCGGAAATCCGATGGAGATTCAACAGGCGCGCAATTTGCATTGCCTTGACACTCAATATTTGCGGTCCCCGAGCTGCAAAGGTGCAGCGAGAAAGAGGTACACAGTGGTAAATTTTTTAAAATCGAGCTCATTAAATAGGAGCATGTTCTCAGATCTATCACTCCTTTGTAGTAAAAAGTCCTTGACCGAGCAAGGGAGGTCTACAGAGGCAGAGACTTTGGAAATCACGTGTACCTGACTAACCCCGCCAATCAGAGGGCGACCCCCGTAGAACCTCACCCATTGTGGTCTTTCTTGCTTCGAATCTTTGTTTTAGTCTCTTCACATATCTTGCACTTCTACAGCTATTCCCATCTTCTCAGAATTTCCCACCTAACTATTGTGTGTTGAAATCTGGGCGTGCACTCAAGGCACCTTTTCCTCTCTCTGCCTCTTGTCGCGGAAAGACCTAGTGCATGCCGCCTCGTCATATCCACAAAAACACCCGTCCCTTCTCCCACCTCTTCCACAGGAAATCCTCTTTCCACCACTGCTTCTACCGTGGTGATCACCGAGTGTCGAACCCTTTGATTGATCCGGGTCCAGAGGGGTTTCAAAGTCTTTTTTTCTAATCCTTTCTCCACCTCTTTTTTCCTTCTTTTTTCTCTTTCCACCCCACATCTTTCATTTCTTTGCACATCATGGACGCCCGTCAGGTGTTGCAGAGTACCCTCGCGCCAGACGCGGCTGTGCGTAGCAATGCCGAACAGCAACTCGCCCAGGCTGCGGAGGTTGACTTCGTACGTGTCTCTCCTTTAACCCCCCTTCGTCCTGCCACGAGTCATGAAAGATTTCCCTAGGATCCCGAACGCTGATACTTCTGTCGCCGATAGGCCGCCTACCTCATTACCCTCGGCCAGGAGCTCGCTAACGAGAGCAGCCCCGCTCACATCCGTGTCGCTGCCGGTATCGCTTTGAAGAACGCTTTCACTTTCCGGGATCAAGCCAAGCTGCGCGAGGTGCAGCTCCGATGGGCCCAGACAATCAACGCCGAGACCAAGACACAGGTCAAACAGCTTGCGCTCAAGACCCTGCATTCACCCGATGCTCGCGCTGGAAATGCCGCCGCCACACTTATTGTTTCCATCGCCGCCATCGAGTTGCCGCGTGGTGAGTGGGCCGACTTGATGGGCATTCTTGTCCAAAATGTCGCCAGTGGAAACGACGCATTGAAGCAGTCCTCTCTCACTGCCATCGGTTACATCTGCGAGTCCCAAGATCCCGATCTTCGCGCCAGCTTGACACAACACTCCAATGCTATCCTTACTGCGGTCGTCCAGGGTGCTCGGCGCGAGGAGCCGAACATGGATGTCCGTTACGCTGCTATCGCCGCTCTCAGTGATGCCGTGGATTTCGTGCGAACCAACATGGACAACGAGGGAGAACGCAACTACATTATGCAGGTCGTCTGCGAGGCCACCCAGGCCGATGAGGTCCGTGTGCAGGCTGCTGCATTCGGCTGCTTGAACCGCATCATGGGATCCTACTACGACAAGATGCGATTCTACATGGAGAAGGCTCTGTTTGGCCTGAGCATCATGGGCATGAAGAGCGAGGAGGAGGAAGTCGCCAAGCTGGCTATTGAGTTCTGGTGTACTGTTTGCGAGGAGGAGATTGCTATTGAGGATGACAACGTTGAGGTATGTTCCAGACGCACGAGACCGAGTAGCTTTGACCATGTGCTGATGTTATGTTTCTTATAGGCTCAGCAAGAGGGTGTCGAGGCTCGACCTTTCTTCGGATTTGCTCGCGTCGCTACCCGCGAGGTTGTTCCCGTCTTGCTGCAATCTATGTGCCGACAGGACGAAGATGCTGGTGATGATGAGTACAATGTTTCCCGCGCTGCCTACCAGGCTATGCAGCTTTACGCCCAGTGTGTGCAGGGCGATGTCATTCAGCCCGTCGTGACTTTTGTCGAGGAGAACATCCGCAACGAGGACTGGCACCGTCGTGATGCCGCTGTCGCTGCTTTCGGCGCTATCATGGAAGGCCCCGAACCCAGTGTTCTGGAGCCCCTGATCAAACAGGCCTTGTCTGTTTTGCTTGGCATGATGGAGGATAGCTCCATCTCCGTCCGGGACTCCACTGCCTACGCCCTGGGTCGCGTGTGCGATTGCTGCCCCGAGGTTCTCGACCCCGAGGTCCACCTTCAGCCGCTTATCTCGTGTCTGTTCAACGGCCTCGCCAGCTCCCCCAAGATTGCCAGCTCCTGCTGCTGGGCTCTTATGAACGTCGCAGACCGATTCGCCGGCGACGATGGCTCGCAGACCAACCCTCTGTCAAAGCACTTTGAGGACAGTGTGAAGTCCCTACTGACCGTGACCGAGCGGTATGTTTCCCTGAATGATATCATTTTGATTACTTTTATCTAACGACCGTACAGACAAGACGCCGATAACCAGCTCCGTACCGCTGGATATGAGGTGCTCAACTCCTTTGTTATGAACTCTGCCAATGACAGCCTGCCCATGGTTGCAACCCTCTCAGATGTTATTATCCGGCGTCTTGAGCACACTATTCCCATGCAGCAGCAGGTCGTTAGCGCCGAGGACCGTATTCTCCTCGAGGAGATGCAGACTAGCTTGATTAGTGTCATTCTGGCCATCGTCCAGCGCTTCGAGGGCGAGATCAAGCCTCAGGCTGACCGTATTATGAGCGTGCTCCTTCAGGTCCTAACTACCGTTGGCGCCAAGTCGAGCGTGCCGGATGTTGTCTTTGCCACTGTTGGTGCTATTGCTAGTGCTCTTGAGGATGATTTCATCAAGTACATGGAGTCATTCAGCCCATTCCTGTATAACGCGCTGGGCAACCAGGAAGAGCCTGGTCTCTGCTCTATGGCCATCGGCTTGGTCAGTGACATTGCTCGTGCTTTGAACGACAAGGTCCAGCCTTACTGCGACACCTTCATGAACCTCCTACTCAAGACTCTCCAGGTGAGATTGTTTCTCTCAGATATAGCGTGGTTGATGTCCAATATTAATTTCAAACAGACTTCCACCAACCAGCTCAAACCTGCTATTCTTGAGACCTTCGGCGATATCGCCCAGGCCATCGGAACTAACTTTGATACGTACTTGGCGGTCGTTGGCCAGGTTCTCCAGCAAGCCTCCAGCGTTACCACCAGCCCCGACCTCCCATACGAGATGGTGGATTACATTGTTTCTCTCCGTGAAGGCATCATGGATGCTTGGGGTGGTATTCTTCTGTCCTACAAGGGCACTGCTTCGAGTACGTTGCTCTTTACTCTCCGCATAGATCCGATCTCAGCATGCTAATTAGATCGCAGTCACCCAACTCCAGCCTTTCATCGAGTCTATCTTCCAGCTTCTTCACATTATTTCCCAGGAGAGCAACCGCAGCGAAGGTCTGATGCGGTCTTCCATGGGTGTTATTGGGTATGTCTTAGCCGCTTCTAGTTTCGATCTCCTATACTAACTATTCACTAGTGATCTTGCTGATGCCTTCCCCAACGGCGAGCTCGCTGCCTACTTCCGCAACGACTGGGTCACCGCTCTCGTGAGAGAGACCCGCACAACCAGACAGTACAGCGAGCGCACAATTGAGACTGCCCGCTGGACCCGTGAGCAGGTCAAGCGCCAGATCAACATGGGTGCTGGTATGTCGTAAGACGGTCACTATGCCTTACGTGGTTCATTCCCAGTGCTTCTAGTCTGATTCCGTCGCCCAAAGCATCTGCCACTCACGTCGGCCCTGTTGGCCTCAATGCCACAGGTCCTAGGGCTGCTTGAGCCCGCACCGCATTGGTGCTCCTGATGTGTACAGGGTAGCTGTCCCGTTCTCGACGTTGTCGAACCCGAGCGCTTGGGTGATAGCTTCAAATCCCTCTCCCCTTTATTTCCCAGCACAGGATCCCCCCCCAATCGCTCCATTTGGTCACGAACTCCGTTCCTCCAAAACCTTTGCTGGTACTCAATTCCCTGATGACGCATGTTCGAATGAGTTACCCTTCCCAATTCCTGTATGGCCCTGTCTGAGTTTCCTTTTTCTTCTTGATACAACCCTTTTCACCTTTCCCAATCCCCCTTCTATGTTGTTTTTAATTAGACAAGACCCCCTTCCTCGCATCTTATAGCATTGCGACTCATGTAGCCCAAGAATTCATGTATCCCCTCCCCTTCTACTTTGCTCACCATTCATGTATCCCTCCACCTCATGTCACCCCCTCCAGAAAAGAGTCATTGTCATGAAAAAGCTGTCCCTGATTTCGTCTCCCTTCCTCGTATACGCCGATATTTGCCCAGAACCATGCTATCACGCTGGAGACCATGTATAGAACCACCCATCTGAGCCTTGCCCACGGATGGAATAAGTGAATGATGTGCCGACGAGTTAGTAGTAGTTGAAGTAAAAGATGCTTGTATGATTATCTTTGAAGTTTTAAAGGTGACTTTTCGTTTTTACCTTTTGCGCTCTCTTTGTTTTGCGGCCATACTTAGTATGGTGTAGATACGGCCCTAGAGGTCAGCTACTTTGTACCTTGTAGGTAACTATGTACATAATTCTGTAGAAAATAGTGATGCCTTCCAAGGTTACCCACATAGATAACCTTGGAAGGCACCACCTGGCCTGGGCAGTATAGCTATCTTTATCATCACGTGACTTACTTGATAAGGGCTACCTCGCGTCACAACCCTACCCGCGCACCACCCGAAAACCAAACTTTCACCGATCGTCGAATTCTTCCGCTTCATCCATCGACGACCATCTCTCGAGGTATGTGTTATGCCCTCCCCAAAAACAGCCTCTCAGCTAGTCTGGGGATGCAATCATCTTGTCTAGATTGCTTCCATATTTGAATTATAGATAATTCTCAGGAATCGCGATCCAGGAAGCCAAGATGATACGCATCTCCCAACTCGTCACGGGCTAAGAACTCCTTGCAATGCAAAAAAGGGGCACTCTTTGCGCTCGAAGACTAGTGGTGGCTGACTTCAACCGCCTTCATCGAACAGATACCTCACAATCTTTACTTCAAACGTTACGATTTGAGAATCTCGATTCTACTAAACCGCCAAAATGGTCAAGACCTCCGTCCTCAACGATGCGCTTAACGCCATGAACAACGCCGAGAAGGCTGGCAAGCGCCAGGTTCTCATCCGTCCTTCCTCCAAGGTCATCGTCAAGTTCCTTTCTGTCATGCAGAAGCACGGTACGTGGATTTTGAAAATTTCTTTTGATAATTACACCTTTGTTGCATTTCCTCTTGCATCGCTTTTTTCTATTTCCTGTCTTGAGCATATTTGTCTCACCCATTCGGGCTGATAACTAGGCGGCCGGTCTCAAACAACCTACGACGTCTGCCTTTTAAGTGTCCGATATATCAATTTGCGAAGATCTTACACGTTTCCAAAGCGCTGTTATGGCTTTTTCAGTATTTGACGACTTTTAAATCTTCACAACATGCTGACTCTTTTCTTTCTCAGGCTACATCGGCGAGTTCGAGGAGGTCGATGACCACCGCTCCGGCAAGATTGTCATCCAGCTCAACGGCCGGTACGTATCCACAATTACCTCCATGGTTCTTAATAGAACGTGAAGCTAACTTCATATTTCCAGTCTCAACAAGTGTGGTGTCATCAACCCCCGCTACCCCGTCCAGCTCCGTGACCTCGAGAAGTGGGCTACCCAGCTCCTTCCCTCCCGTCAGTTCGGTTACGTTGTCCTGACTACCTCCGCTGGTATCATGGACCACGAGGAGGCTCGCCGCAAGCACGTTGCTGGCAAGCTCCTCGGCTTCTTCTACTAGATGGAGTCGTCCTAAAAAAGAATTGAGAAAAAGTTCTTGCTTTGACTGGTTATGCATGGCGTTGGTTGTATTGGGCTGGACCCTGGAATGTAATCTGGACTTTGTAGCTGTGAACAAAATACCCTCTGTTCCGCACTTTTGATGGTTTGCAGAGTACATGGTTCGCTCGTATATCAATGCTAGAATATTCCGGTCTGCAATGTTTGTACCATTCTCCTTTTTCTGCTTCCATTGTAGCCCAACCCGGTCCGAGGTATCCTTTCACCGCCCTCGGCGCATCTGTATTCTGCCTTTCCCCCGCAACAACGCAGTACCAGTTGCGTAGCTGAACAACTCAAGCGTTCATACGCCATGCCTTTGGACACGATATATCTGACCCGTCATGGGGTGAGTACTCTATACATTCGTCGCTGTGAGCTTGTAGACCTAACCATAGCAGCACCGCCTCAGCTGGACCATTGACTTCCGCACGGGCACATACAGGGCCCAATTCCCCACGCCGACAGGAAATCCAGCAGACCCCGCGCTGACCTCGCACGGCGTGCGCCAGTCACTTGAGCTGGCGGAATATATTGCTGGCGCCGAATTTCACCCCAAGCCGTCCCGTGTCTACTCGAGTCCCTTTTACCGCTGCCTCCAAACAATCCAGCCATCTGTTGAAGAGCTGAAGAGATTATCAGCCGGGTCTGGAAGTAGCCAGCAAAATGGTCAGATTGGGCCAATTGATCGGCATGCGGACCTGGATGTACGAATTGAGAATGGATTAGGGTAAGTAGTATACCGTTTCTTTATACTTAAACTTCCTGCCTTCTCAAACCCCACCGTTTCCCCTTTATCCCGAACAAAAGAAGACTTTGCAAGGACCTTATTACCATGAAAGCTAATTAGAATCTAGAGAATGGTTCGGCGCAACAGACTTCTTCGACCACCCGGCCCACCCAACCCCCGAAATAATGTCCACCCACTTCCCAACCCTCCTTACAGAAGCCAGCCAAGCCTACAAACCCCTACTCATCCCCTCAAGACGTGGCGAGACAATCGCGCAGCTCCACAACCGCGTAGCGACAGCGCTGGAAGGCATAATCGCCGACATCGACTCAGAAGTCTCCGCCCTCGAAGCAGAGCTACCACCAGACCAAAGAACCAGCAAGTCTGTCCTTATCTGCGCGCATGCTGCGCCGCTCATTGCCATGGGACGAGCTCTTACGGGCCGCATGCCGGATGATAGTTCCGAAGAAGACTTTAATGTTTTCACGGCTGGTTTGAGTACATTTAAGAGGAGGGGGTCTTCCACTAGTAGTGCTGTACAGAGCGGTGATCACGAACAAAGTTCGAGTGAGAAGCCGCTTGCTGAAGGTACGACGTTCATTCGTGCGTCGGGATCCCCGCCGCAGTGGAGGAATGGGCGTGGTGTTGGCGGTGGGTGGGATTGTGTTGCGAATGGGGATTGTAGCTTTTTGAGTGGCGGTGCTGAGCGCGGATGGTGAGTGCATTCCTTTCTTTTTCCTCTACCTTTCGTGTGGAGCGAGGATATTAATATAGACTCCGGCAGGCACTTTGATGGCGAAGAAGCCTTTAATACGGGTCCTATGGCTCCACCTTCGGAGCTACCTGCGAATGTAGCTGTCACGAAGTTGTGAGCTGATGATCTACGGAATTATACTGGCCATGGCTTGTGATCAATATAACGAGGACTAAGTACTGATGGTCTCAGGCGATGACTACAAACCGGCAAGTCGTGCTATCATGGCCTACCACTGCAATGCTTACCTGGTGCCTCGCGGGATGGCTCTTGTTCTCAACGAGCTTGTGCTAGCGGTATAAGAGAAGGCAACATATACATAAAAACACGATTTCTTGCTAGCCGCCTAGAACTATATATGTGATGTACATAATAGGAGCATCTAGTCCAAAGTGATATGGACAATTGACTTGAACAAGGGTTTGATCGCCTTGCTAACTTCAATTTATGGAGGAAATTGGTTTGGATATCATTTTGGTCCACTTTAAATTCAACTATAGAAACTAGATGATAGACGCTACCGCTAATATAGAGATGATATGAAAAGCAAATACCTTCATGTATAGATCAGTTCTCTGCTGGACCCTGTCCAAACTGTGCATGCGCGGCAGAGGCCTCCTCCTATTCAGTACCTGCATTCCCCGCGCCCTCTGCCACACCAGCTTGAGCCCGTTCCTGCTCCTGGCGCTCACGCTCCCGTACCTGCCCCTGCTCTTGACGTTCCCGCGCCTGACGCTCCTGCTCAGCCAAGAAAGCTTGGTCTGCCGCAGTGCGAGCCTGGACATGCCGCTCACCAAGACCGGGAACTAGACTGGCAAAAAGAAATACAAGTGCTCGCTCCGCGCGGCGCATCTGGTCCCAAATATCGAACCCCGCAGTAGCGTCGTTGGCTCCAGTTTGAGTGGCTCGATCTGCTGGGCCACCGGCATGGGTTAGGCCCTCGAGATGGCGTTGGATGGGATTAACAATCGAAGTCGCAAACTGGCGCGGGATACTGGTCTCTGAAAAAAATGTGACAAGCAAGGCAATGCCTACAAATATGTAACGTCTCCAGGTGCCAGGGGCGCTGGTGAGGTAGCAGAAGAGCCACAAACGAGTGAACAGCCAGATGCGGCGGATGTGCCGTGCCAGACCGGCGTGCTCGACGTTGTTGCCTCGCCGCTGCTGGTTGAGCATTGCTTGGCGAAGGGCGTTCTGGACCACCGCTGCGTTTTGGTTGGGTGCTTGAGGTGCTTGAGGCGCGCCCGACTCGTTGGCGGGGACTATATTGGGCGAGCCCACCCGCTGCGTACTGGGGTGGGTTACCCAGGGTTGTCTCACGAGATGATTATCTCCCGTTGGCGAGGTCAGCATGAAGAGTTGGATGGAGTCTGGTGCGAATGTGTTTGAAACATTTTGGGTAATCGGGGCCTGAGCTGGAACGCTTGCCTGCGACTGCTGTTGCTGCATACGTTCCATTAGACGAGCGCGTTGTTGAGCATCAAGAATACGGCCAACCAAATCCACAACACCAGGTAGAGGAAGTTGTCTTGCGGGTCGTGCATCTTGAATTTCAAGAAGCTGGTTCCGTATATGAATAATATTCCCTATGGATGGCATTGTACGTCGGTTCAGTTGTCCCTCAATCTCCTCGATGTGACGTCGTAAAGTGAGAACACGCTGGGAGAAATCTGCATCATCGGCTTCTGATGCATTTGTAGTTGCTGAGTGTCGGTTAGGTGAAGAGGTGTTGACATATTGATTGATTGTGATGTGCGGAGAAGCTGGAGTGGCACCGATTGTCCTGGGAATGCTAGAGTACGATGGCACACTGGATGCGGTCACCGAATTATCCGAATTGGAGTGATCCAGCCATGTGGAAGAGGAAGTGGAAGCTCGAGCAGAGTTCCTGAGAGACGACTCTTGCCGCATCTTGGAGACAGGAGGTGCTTCTGTGTGTGTTGGTTCAGGTGGCAACACAAGGTGCATACTATCAGTGCCTCTCTGGAAAAGAGATGCCGTTCAGTTAGGACGAAAGGTCATATGGCGCGGGTTAGGAACAAGTTACTTACTTCCATAGATGAGACTACTGCTCTGAGTGTTGCGTCATCGACAGTTAGGGGTTTCCCTCGGTAGATGAGCCTCTGTTGCGACGCTTGAGGATTGTTCGGAAAGGACTGTTCGATCCGGCCCTTGAGCTGTGCGATTGTGGAGGAGAGTGGAACATTCTCGAGTGTAAGCCGACTTGGAGGGGGTAGAGACTGGCAGAGTATGTGAAGAGTGATCGTGCTCGGTGTGTCTCCATCTACCATGGGCTGGGATGATGATACTGTTGCCATTCCTTCAGAACTGTAGTTGTTCGTAAGCTAAAATTCCGATATAGAGCTGATCCAGTTACTGATATCTGGCATCAATAGACCGATAAGTGATGTTGATGTCGTAATGTCCTCTGTGGGACTCTATATAACAGCTAGGAAGGAAGTAGAACGATCGATGTAAGATGACAGAAGATGCAAAGAGTCAGATTCGCAGAGACGCTCATTTATAATGAAATGGGTAGATATCAAGAGAAACACACTCCGTCCATTGCATCTCCACGTGCAATTCTGCCGGGCGGTCAATCGGCAACAACATGTTTCCCCATTTCGGAAAAAAACGCTCTGGGCTTAGGCGTCGATTTTAGCGCTCTAGGCCGATGGATTAAACATTATGGCCAAGCGCCTTTTTACTTCCTTGCCTCTCCTTCATTGCCCTCCGATTGCCCCTCGGATCGGGGCTGCGTCGATGGAGGTTCTTTCGTTCCGGGCCACGGCCCGTCATAAAGCCAGCCTCCGGCATTTTTCGTCTAAATCGTGGAGACAATATCACAAGGACAATAACTCCGAAAACAACAGAGGAGGATTTGGCTCAAGGCTAGGTTTCGCTCTGCGCAATACCAAAGTCGAATGGTATCCCATCCCGGTCGGACTCGGAATCGGTTTGCTAGGGTTGCTATCTTTCTACAAATCACAACGTGCGGAACGGGATCGCCTGGCTCGCGCTGCAGCCGGCGATGAATGGGAAGATGGCAAACGACCACCTCCTCGCCCGAGGATTAGCCTGTCAGGCCCATGGCATGTTCAGATCATGTCCACCCTGCCCCTGAAGGCCATGTCGCGTCTATGGGGTCGGTTCAACGAAATCGAACTTCCTTACTACCTCCGCGTTCCTGGATTCAAACTCTATTCATGGGCCTTTGGCGTCAACCTAGAGGAGGTTGCCGAGCCCGACCTGCACACCTACCCGAATTTGGCGGCATTCTTCTACCGTAAGCTGAAGCCTGGCGTTCGACCATTGGACCCCGACCCTCGTGCTCTTCTGGCTCCCTCCGACGGCCGAATCTTACAATTTGGAATGATTGAGCGGGGCGAGGTTGAGCAGGTAAAGGGAATGACCTACAGTCTGGACGCCCTGCTAGGATCAGCCACGCCTGCGAACGCCGACCACACCAAGCGGCTCACGGACCAGGGCCGGAAAGAAACTCAAAAGGATGTTGAGAACATGGCTGCACATGAAGAGTTTGCGCGCATGAACGGGATTTCCTACACTCTCCCGAGCCTTCTTTCGGGAGAATCCGATGCTCCCAAACGACGTGCTTCATTGGATGCTTCAACCGCATCCAAGTCAACCTCGGAAATCCAGGTGCAAGAGGACCTGGCTCGTGGCGATGGGACACCCTGGTACGCGCCCAAAACGGCAGCCAACCATGCCTTGTTCTACGTTGTGATCTACTTAGCACCCGGTGACTACCATCGTTTCCACTCCCCCGCGCCCTGGGTGGTCGAGAGCCGCCGCCACTTTGCTGGCGAGTTATACTCGGTTTCACCTTACTTGCAGAAGCATCTACCCGGTTTATTCACCCTCAACGAGCGAGTTGCACTCCTTGGCCGATGGCGGTGGGGTTTCTTCAGTTACACGCCGGTCGGCGCTACCAATGTAGGCTCCATTAAAATCAATTTTGACTCGGAGTTGCGCACGAACAGTCTGTTGACTGATACCGCTGCGGACTTGGCAGCGGCCTTGGCCTCTAAGCGCGGTGAGCAATATCCTGGCTTTGTGGAGGCGACATATCGCCACGCCAGCCGGACACTTAATGGACATCCACTGCAACGTGGAGAGGAAATGGGCGGGTTCCAACTTGGCAGTTCGATTGTCCTTGTGTTCGAGGCACCGCTTGGAACTCGCAAGTCCGTTGATTCCGGCTGGCCCGAAGATGCCTCAAGTGATGGGTGGACTTGGAGTATTGAGAAGGGCCAGCGCATCAAGGTAGGGGAGAAGTTGGGCTTTGTGGGTGAGACGTAAAATGCATGATGTTGCACAGCCCGGTGCACAGCCGACAGCAGTGGCTTGCGAATATCTTGGCCTACATGTTTTTTGTAGGTTTGTTTGTTGTACTATACCAGTCCTGAGCATTTAGTTTAATCACATTACTTTCTTTTTCCCTTCGATCTATCAACTATTATTTAAGAACTATAGGATGCATATTTCCTAATTTGGATCAGCACAGACCTCTTGGCGTGATGCTATCGCCTCCCAAATGCCGTCATCGCTGATTGCGGCCAAGTTACTCTCCAGGGCTACTACTTTGTACACGTTGGACAAGACGCACTACATATGTTATGTAGCAAAATAATATAAATGAGAAAAGAGAAGTTTAAATTACAAGCATTGATTCATCCAATGCAATGAATGCAGGTTAATGCAGTGAAAAGGCAAGTCAGCCAATGTCCACCAAAGAGCTATCAACGTGGGCGAAACTGCCCAGATGCCAAGATACTCTAAACCAAGGCGAATTCTCTCCTTTTTAACTTCTTCACTTGTTCCTGTTCCCATCTACAATCCCTCTCTTGATGGCCATCTTTAACTCACCCCGATCATTTCAAAATGTCAATGCTATTGCCCAGGCTCCAATGGGCGTCAACAGCTTCTTCATAGGCGGCCATGAAAGTCATCCCCCATTCTTTCAGTTAGTGCTGCTCGTCTTCTCAGCTGTGCTGGAAGTCGTCTGCGTCAGCCTCCCTGGTTACATTGCCGCCCGCCAGGGCATGTTTGATGCCGATGCACAGAAGCTGGTGGCAAACCTCAATGTGACTCTGTTCACCCCTTGCCTCAGTATGGATTACTCTATACTCGCGCCACGAGATATTTCCATGACATAGCTGATTTTGTCAACAGTTTTTACCAAATTGGGCTCACAATTGACCGCGGAGAAGCTGACGGACCTGGCTATCATCCCGGTTATTTTTATTGTCCAGACCTTCGTCTCATACGTCTGTTCATTCGTTGTCGCAAAATGTTGCCGCTTCAAGAAGCGGCAGTCGAATTTCGTGGCTGCCATGGCGGTATGTGATGGCCCTGTCATTTGAGAGAGTCGAATATCTAATTCTAACGACCCCTTCTCTGCAGGTCTTTGGCAATTCAAACTCTCTCCCGATCTCTCTCGTCATGTCGCTTTCGCAAACCCTCAAAGGCCTCCACTGGGACCGGCTCCCAAACGACAACGATGACGAAGTCGCCGCACGCGGCATTCTATACCTGCTTATCTTTCAGCAGCTAGGTCAGCTCGTGCGCTGGAGTTGGGGATACCACATTCTCTTAGCGCCTAAGGACCGATACCTCGAGGAGGCGGAGCGCGACGAGAGTGGCCAATCAGTGATCGAGCAGGGCCAGGCGCGGTATAGCGACAACCCGGACCAGACAGATCCGGACGAACCCCTTGTCAGAACACGCAGCTCAGACGATGTACCCCATGCCCACGCTACACACGCCGACCGCCGGTTCCCATCTGGCGACCAAACACCCGTGTCAACACGAGCTTATTCCTACTCGAAGCTGTCCTCCGCCCACTCAGACGACGACTCAGATACACCGTCAGTGATTGGACCACCACCCACCGGGCCATTCCTCCCCCGTCAAAGCTCCCAAGGCGACATCCTCCAATTCCCAGATGTCGAAATCACCGCGCGCGAAGCTCAAGAAGCCGAGAAAACGTGGTTCCAGCGCTACAAAGCATCTCTGCGCAGATCGCGAGACCGCCTGAGCCAGTGGCGAGAAAAGAAAACCAACGCCCTCCACGCACGCCTCCCACCAAAGATCCAAAAGGGCCTAGCATCAGCCAGTCTCGGACTGCGCCGCTTCCTCCATGGCTTATGGGACTTCATGAACCCACCGCTGTGGGCAATGCTAGTATCAATCATCGTCGCCTCGGTTCCAACGCTCCAGCGTCTCTTCTTCGACGACGGCACCTTCGTTCGCAACTCAGTCACCCGCGCGATCGAGCAGAACGGACAGGTCGCCGTTCCGCTGATCCTGGTTGTGCTCGGCGCGAACCTCGCGCGCAATACAATCCCCGAAGAGGCGCTGGCGGATGTGGAACATCCGCGCGACGAACGCAAGCTTATCATCGCTTCACTGGTTGCACGCATGCTTCTTCCGACTCTTATCATGGCGCCGATTTTGGCGCTGATGGCCAAGTTTGTGCCTATTAGTATCCTCGATGATCCGATTTTCATCATTGTCTGCTTCCTGCTTACGGGTGCGCCGTCCGCATTGCAGCTGGCGCAGATCTGTCAGATCAATAACGTCTATGTTGGTGCTATGTCGAAACTCTTGTTCCAGAGTTATGTTGTCTGGTAAGTCTTTATTCGTCCTATTTACCGAGAACAGACAGCCTCGGTCGTCGATCTCAATCATTGATCATTGCTAACATGGCTTTTTCTTCTTTCCAGGATCCTCCCCTCGACCCTCGTGCTTGTTATGTTCGCTCTGGAGGTCGTCGAGTGGGCTGCCTCTTCATAGACTCTTTGCTTTGCGCATGAATGGCGAACTGGTCTTTCCATCTCTAGTCTTGCTTTTTTCTTTTTCGGAGTTTCTATATTCGCTCTCTTTGGACATTCTTGTAATTACCCATTCATTTTCTTGTTTGGGGGAATTGGCGTACCTAAGACATTATTCCTTGTACACAGACTGTACTTTCTCAACCTATGGACCTATCGTGATGCCTATCTCTATGAAAATTGTATATCATTATTTGCTACGGCGTTGGGACAACTCATCAAGGGTTTGATAAAAATGATCAACTCATACAGCTGGCGGCATCCACACCCCAACTCCTTTACAACTGCATGAGGAAGCACCCCGCGTCAACACACATCCACACCATACCCTTCGAAAAAGTCCAAGTCCATCAAACCGCCATCAAAATGGCGAAATCAACATCAGACATCTTCATGAGCATAAAGCCAGAGCACATGCAAAACATAGCCTCAGGGTCCAAAAACCACGAATACCGCAGCTATCT